CCCCCCCCCCCCCCCCCCCCCCCCCCCCCTTCTTTTTTTTTTAATTTTTCTTTATTTTTCTCTTTTCCCCCTTCTTCCCCGGCTCCTCGGAGGGGACACCCGAAGCCCGACGGCAACGACGACGAGGAAGAGGAAGGCGGCTCGGCGCTCCCTGCCCGGCTATCCCCGGTCCCCCCCGCCGCTTCGGGCCCCGCCGAAGTTTCCCCGCCCCGCGGTCGGGTCGGACCCGACCGACCAAACTTTCCTTCCCCCCCTCCGGGCTGTCCCTCTCCCTCCCCGGCAGCACACAGGAGGCGCTCGGTCCGGTAAGAAAGATTCGGCTTTTATTGAAAACGCTCTCTCCGTCTCTCGGCACTGTAATAAATAAACGGGGGCTCCGCGGGGCCCGGCGCAATAAATACGGCCCGGGGACAGCGGGGGGTGCGGGCCGGGGCCGGGAGGGCCTTCTCCGTGGGGTCGGTGTTGTATCCTCGGGCCCCTTTAACCCCCCAGCACGCGAATCCGGGGTTGCGCGGAGCTCCGGACGGGACCCGCCGGCTCCGGCCCGAGGGAATGGGGGGGTTGGGGGAGTGTGTGTGTGTGTTGGGGGGGTTTGATTTGATTTGATTTTTTTGCAAAACATTTTTTTTCTTTTTTTTCCTCTCTCTTTTTCTTTCTTTGTAGCCTCTCGTCGGCGTTTCGGCAGCGCAGGACGGGGCCGCCGCTCACTGCAGGACGCACTTCTCCTCCCGCTTGGCCATCTTGCCTTTGTTTTGCTCCAGGGTCCGCTCCAGGTGCTCGTCCTCCTCCTCGGCCCTGCGGGGACACCCGGGGGTGAGCGGGGGCATAGAGCCCGGCCCCCCCCGCCTCTCACTCACTGCTTCTCCTGCGCGTCCAGGTCCCGCACCAGCGCGTCCCGCTTGTTCACCAGCAGCACCAGCTCGTCCAGCAGCAGCTGCTCCCTCCGCTTCTGCGCCTCCGTCTTCTGCCAGTCTGCGGGGCGGGACGGACACGGTCACGGCACGGCACGGCCCGGCGGGGCGCAGCCCGACCCGATGCGGCACAGCCCGGCCCCGCTCTGCCCTACTGGGCACAGCCCGCAGCCCCTCCGCCACCCCGCCCGGCACAGCCCGCCGCCGCCCGCCTCGCCTTTTCATTCTTGTAACGACTTTTAGCGATTAGCCCCGTCATTTCTGTTCCCCGCGGGACTCCGCACCCGGAGCGTTCCCCCCGAAGGGGCTCCGCAGCCGTTCGCCGTTCCCGTCCCGGCCGTGCCCCGGGGCTGCCGCTGTCACTCACCGCGCGGCCATCCCCGCCTCCCTCATTAGGAAGGTAAACAATGGGGAGGGAGGCGGCGGGGAGCGGGGGGGAGGGTGGGGGACACCGTTCCGAAAAAAAAAAGGGGGGTGAAAACAAGGGAAAAAAAGGGAAAAAGCCGCACGGACGCTCCCCGCTTTTCCCTGCACGGGACTCGGTGCCGCCTCGGGACGGGCGCGGAGAGCGCTGAAAATGGGGCGCAGCACGGAGCGACCCCCGGGGGCAGCGCACCCCGCGTGGTACCGGCGCGGCTCCGCCTGAGCTGTTCGCAACGTATTCTCTTTTTTCCTTTCCTTTTTGTTTTTTGTTTTTTGTTTTTCGTTCCCCCTCAGCTCTCCATTTTAAGCCGCAGTTACGGCTTCGCAAACGGCGAACATCGGGCGAACATTTCAGCGTCGGCCTCGCTCGGCCCTACTCTTTTTTCCTGCTCGGTCCCCTCTACGAGCTGCCCTTCTCGTTGCCCCGTGGGCTCAGCGACACCGCGTCAACGGAACGCAACGATCTGTCCCGTGCTCTCTGCGCCCGCCCATCCCCGGCGGATAAGACGTGCGGTCTGCCGCTTTTACTTCCTTGCCCGCAAAAGGAGACCCATTTGTCCCCCTCTCGGGTAGCGAGTGGCAAAGAGGGGCCGGCGCGGAGCTGTAGGATCACATCCCCTATTGGAGCTCTCTGCAAGCTGGCTTTGCCCAACAGCGTCCCACCAGCAGCCCCTTGGGATCCCTCCCTGCAGTGTCGGGGTGCCAGGCAGGCCCCCACCTGCTGTGCCTGGGGGCCCTCGGCGCTGGAAAGGCCGAGCCCCACGCAGCCATGGGACGAAGCCCCGGGGCCAGCTCCATGCTCAGTGCTGAGAGCTGTGGGCACCGCGCGGGCTGCAATGACGGAGTTTGTGAAACTCGCGTTGGAGGAGAAACGCTTTCAGTTCTTCGCTGACTTCGCGTTGCCTTTTTTCCCCCCGCTGCTCACAGTGATATAATTACTTGGGGCAAACGGGCGGCTGGTTCCCATAGAAATGCTTTAATGGAAGCGGGCAAAAGTTCTTGCGGGAAAACCCGCAGCCCTGGCGCCGCAATAACGAAGCTGGGCACTTTGATGGAAATTAACGGGAGTTTTGTAAGGAGCGCGTTGGGGGATGGCAGGCAGCCCTTATCTGCGGTTCCAGTCAACTAGCAATCCTGAAAGAGTTTGCATCATCATCAGAGCAGCCCGTTTGATAGGATTCTGTGCTGCGCCTAATCAATCTATGGGATACCGGGCTGTGCGGTGTAACAAAGCTAAAATAGATTTACAAATGGGGTTTTAGAGGATAAGCTCCTCCACAGGATTACATATTGATTTTAAATATAAAAAGCTTATCATATAAACCATAACTACAAAAATAGTGAACCTATGCATAAATCCTTTTAGAAGAGCACCCACTTCAAACTCGAAGCCAGGAATAAATCAAGATGTACAAAACCCTAAAGAAGATCCATTTCTTGGGCAGAAAACGAACACCCCCCTCCCAAGGTGTGCAAAAATGAACTTATCTCTCCTAAGGAGGCATTAAATCTTGAATTAAGGAAGGAAAAGAAAGAAGGGAAAGGGGGTGGAGGCGGCACTGGGGCCGTGCGGTGCAGAAGGATGGCCCCACATCCCCGGCCCCGCGTGGGTAGCATGTTGCCGAGCTGCCGGGCAGCAGCGAGCTGCTCTCTGCCCCCCTTCCCATCTCTGCAGCTCAAGGAGGTGGATAAAAAGTCCTGCTTTTGTTTGGCGCTCTCCTGTTTTGTAGCAGCACTGCAGCCGCTCGCGCACCCTGCGGCCCCGTCCCGCAGCCGGCTCTGCCCGCAGCCTTCCCCGCCATAAGCAGTGGGATGAACTGCCTGGGGGACACATCAGCAGCACAGCCACGCGTGGAAGTTACAGCGATTCACCCTGGCAGCAATCGCCATCTCTCAAGGAGTTCTTTTGATTTATTTTTTACTTTCCAACCCGGGTCGGCGTTCTGCCTCACAACTCCCTCTTTGAAACACACGGCTCGGTTGGCCCTGGGCTGCGTTTTGCTTTCTCTCTGGCATTTTGCTGTCGTTTTTTAGGAGGGCTTCTCCTTCTGTAGGCTCTGAGGTAGAAGCAGAGCACTGCTGAAACTTCTGATGGGATAACAATTTCTTTTATGGTGCAAAATGCTCAGCACAGACTTTGTTGCATAAATAAAAATAATAACCCAATTTTCCAGTGCACCTCCATTTATTCCCTAAGCCCCTGTTTACTCTGTCATCAATAGTGGGAAAAAAAAAAGAAAGAAAGAAAAATGAAAATTAAAAAAAAAAAAAAAAAAAAAAAGAAACCTTGCTGGGTTTCAGCATCGCGCTCTGAAC